GAAATTTTATTATATTGTTAATTTTTTTCATATTTAGTATATAAGAAATTGATATTGAGATTTTGCTTATCAAAAAATAATATTAATAATAATAATAAGTTAACATTGAAAAAGTTGTGAAAAAAATTGTCAAATATCCCATGTTAAGAAAGTTGAGGGAAGGTTTTTCAAATATAGGAAGAAAAAATTGCTTATTGGAAATTGTGTACAGAAAATAAAGTTAAAATATCATTTTTATCTTTTATTTGTTATAGTATTGAGACGTAAAAATTAAGAAATCCTTTAAACTTTTTTGAATAAGAGGCATAAGTTATTTTCAATGTGAAACGCCCAAAGCATCTTTTTTTTTTAATGTATAAAACCTTCAGCTTAATTTTTTTTTGATTTTTTTAATATGTAAAAATTAAAAATTGAATTATAAATTTGTGATTAACAGTATATATAACTCTACTATTAAATTACATCATTGATACACCTTAATCTTTAAAAAGTCTCCAAAAGATATCTACTGGTAAAAACCTTATGAGGCTCAAAGTTAGAGGCTTTAAAAAATTTAAATTTTAAAACTAGTGAAAATAGATTTTGAGAAGAGTATTAAATTAAAATATAAATATAACAATGAAAGTTTAAATGAATCAGTACTTATTAATCTAAAAAACTTGATTTTGAGATTAAAATTAAGAGTTCAAATTCTTATAACACTTAGTAATTAACTCCTAATTAAAAAAATATATACAAATACAAATATACCAAAATTATAAACAAGTCAAGAACTGTCACGAGTGAGTGAGTACCTCTTTTCAATATGGTATCTCCAAAGATCATTTTAGAATTGCTACATTCAACAGATCTCACTAAAGATGGCGAAAAAAGGACTCATTAAAAAATGTCATTTTTAAATAAGGACATAATGTAAATTGATGGATGATGTTTTGACTTTTTTTTTTACCTAATTTAAACTAACATATATTTTATCCATTTTTAACTAAAAATTTGCAATCTCATAATATATTAACAAAAATAAAGTTATCAGGCACATGAAAGTTATAATTCAATTCTCCAAGTTTGTCAAAATCGACAGGTTGAATGTGGACAGTTGGAGACCAATGAATAAAACAACTCGGACACAGAGAGCTTAAAGATTAGGGATATACTATTGCATTTATCCAAAATTTTAATTATATATTTTAATAAT